TAAAGTCATTTATTGTGTTTTCAGTTGCAATTGATGAAGGCACGGACATTACAGATGTTGCACAACTGGCAATTTTCATCCGCGGAGTTGATGACACATTGACTGTCACCGAGGAGTTCGTGGAGTTGGTACCGATGACAGATACAACGACCGCAGCTGATATTTTCACTGCACTCGTCGGCGCGCTGGACAGGGTGGACTGGTCGCGCGCTGTCAGCCTGGCTACAGATGGTGCGCCCTCAAAGCAGGCGTTGTAAAAAAGTTCAGAGATAAAGTGCAATCTGCAAATGGAGGACGTGATTTTTGGACTTTTCACTGTATTTGGCACCAGGAGGCTTTGTGTTGCAAGTCACTGAAAATGGATAGCGTCATGAAGGTGGTCATCCAAACTGTTAATTTCATCCGATCCAGAAGCCTCAATCACCGTCAGTTTGACAGTCTTCTCAGAGAGAAAGACCACATCTATGGCCTGCCATACCACACTGAGGCAAGATGGTGGAGCCGAGGTGCTGTGCTGAGGCGTTTCTTTGATTTACGAGAAGAAATTGAACAGTTTATGGAAGAAAAGGGCAAACCAGTGTTAGAATTTCATTCCGCAGAATGGATGCAGCACCTTGCATTTATGGTGGATGTTACAGAGGACCTGAATAACTTGAACAAACAGCTGCACGTTGTCACGCAGTATTATGACAGCATACGTTCTTTCAAGTTGAAGCTGTTATTGTGGGAGACGCAGCTCGCTGGTGGTGATGCAGCTCACTTCCAAAGTGTGGCAGATATGAAGCGGTTTAAAGATAAAATAACGGGACTGTTACTAGTTTGAGCAACGATTTCAGATTTTTGGTGAACTGGAGAAAGACTTCAAAGTTTTTTGCTCGCTGTTCACCGTGAATCCCTTTGATCTGCCTGTCAGGATCCAACTTGAAATAATAGACTTGCAGTGTGACTCGGATTTGAAGGGCAAATTTGCCGCAGCTGGCTTGAACACATTCTATCAGAATCTCTTGCCAGGTTACCCCAACTTGACAGCCCTCACAGCAAAACTGTTGTGCATGTTCGGAACCACGTATCTTTGTGAGCAAGTTTTCTCTGTAGTGAGCATAAATAAAACAAAACTGCGCTCAAGGCTCACGCACAGGCACTCGAATCACATCCTGAAGTTAGCTGCCGCTCAGGATGTGAAGCCTGATATTGATGAGCTGGTGAAAGCTAAAAGATGCCAGGTATTAGGAGTCAAATAAACTATGCAACCCCACTGAAAGTGCTGCATGAGACACCCTGATGTAGTTCTGTGATCTGTGATATACTTCTGTGAATCACTGAGGCACTGTGTGCTTGTGTGTTCTTAGTCCTCAGAATTTTCAAATAACTTGAGGTGTTTTGTAATTAATAGCTATGTTGTGCCTGTACTATTTTGAACATACTGTCCACAGGCTCTAGCTTTATTTTTATGTTGATCGTATTAAAACAAAGAAAACAAT